AACTTGCAGCTGCATTGAGTTTATTAAAAATGTTGCTGTTACTTAAGGACTGGTTATTTGGCAATAGTCAAAGAAAAATTGGCCTCCAAGATTCTGCTAATTACGCTTCTGTACTCAAAGAGTAAAGCGGATCTTTTGTGGGATGACTCTGGGAATAAATACAATATTTTAGAACGAATTTCGTAGAAATAAAAATATACATAAATTGAACTTTTATTTTAGAGCTATACCGTTATTTAAAAACATAAAATATATAAAAAACCTTTACCAAACTTCAATAAAACTGATAGTAGAGTAGTTTAACAGTCTATATATTTGAACATGTTATGTTGGTTTTACGCTTCAAAAACTCATAAAGTCCTGACCCGATTGAGCTCAAACTTTGAAACGATATACAGACCGCTTTAAAGTTTTTTTTTATCAATTTTATTACTAAATCAATCAACAGCCTATAATAGTCCACTGCTGGACATAGACCTCTCCTTAGAAAGGAGGTTTCGGCCTTAGTAGGCCGAAACCACGCTGGCCAGACGTGTTGGTATAGGGTTTGTTTCAAGTTTTCCTTCTCTTTGCAGTGCTGTTGTCTTGTACTTTAGTCCCTAATTTTGTTACTCATTTTGCATGAATTCAACCATAATGTGAGTCAACTAAGCTTGGCAAGGTACAGCTAGTTATAAATAAATTTTTGTCTTTTCGCTAGAAAATAATACAAAAGAAACATTTAAACTTAAATAACATTAAATCAGAAAAAAAAAACATGGTTTCAATAGTCACGAAACATTTTCAGCAAAAAGAGATTTATGATGAACAAAAATTAATTAACAATGAGTGCTATAGATATACTAAGAGGAAAAACAGGGACGTTTAAAACATCGTTTAAATAAATAACAAATATGTGTGTACTGTGAATAAATTTCGCCGCACGAATGCTGAAACCATGCTTTTAATAAAATGCGATTGTTGAATTCGGGCGGATTTTGCTTCGTTCGAGCGATTTTGCATTGTGTGATGACTGTGCAAGTTTTGTTAATTACAGTAAAAATTATTTCCAGTTGGGCGGCAATTACAATCTTTTTATTCGCTTTAAAAGTAATCATTACGACCTCGTAAAACGATTTTCTTTCTTATTAATTTTCTAACTTTTCTTCTAACTTCATTTAAAACTGTAATTCGCTAATTTTATTCTTTCATTTTGTTACTTACCTTTTTATTGTTTTATTTCATTTTTTATTTTAATTTCACTCGTGTTACTATTGGTGCATGTTGTGACATCTGAAAATGCTATGTATTTAAGCTAGTTTTTAGTACATTTATTGTTGCATATGCATAAGATTTAATATAACTAAAACTGGTTGTCCTTATTAAATAAATGAATAGATATTTTATTATTTCCATTTACATACACTTTTTTATTTTATACGTGGCTCAATCGAAGTGATAAAGCCATTTCAATAATAATAATAATATTGTTTATTTAAATTTAAAAACGTATTACAATATTCAATTACTTCTGCCAAACTGCACAGCAGTTTGTTGGCAGACGTAGCTCCCATTTATCATATTACACTTTTTATTATAATTTAACAATTACATTACCATATCCTTTTTACAAAAATAAAAAATAAAATTAAATTTAAAATAATAAAATAAATAACATGCAAAATTACAGTAACGATCATTTAATCAAATTAATTAAAATTACCTAGTGATTAGTTATTGTTAGCAAAAATACTTAAGTAACATGACATAACAAACGTAGACATAAGAGTAGGCAATGATGGGTAAAGAATATCACTCATGTAGGATGGATAGTAGAGTGGAAGCAAGAGAGTCAGGGTACCCTGTAACTTCGCACACCTGTTAGAGCTTATCAATAAATTACGTCACACTTTAAGTGGGGGACGGAAAGGGATCCTAAATTTCGGAACTGCTGTTTTAAGTACCTAAAATTGAAAAAATTTGTGACGTCATACTAGTGAACTGTAACAAGAATAGGCTGCTAAAAACCATGAAATTCCTGTAACGGAATTTACAGATGGCCCCTAACTCGAATTTCAAATACCTCTAACACATAAATAATGTACTCAAAACTCGCATACATAAATAATTTAATTTAAAAACAATGGAAAGCAAAGTTGCTGGGAAATCCATGAATTCAAAAGTTGGTGTTAAACTTTCCAACGTGACTTTAACGTAACACGTGTCGCAAATTACACAAGTTTATTTGGAAACAGCAAATTAACTTCAGGAATCGTGTTGTAATAAATATGAAACAAAAATCTACTGACACTACAAAGAAAAAAATGCTTTGTATTTTGAATTACGTGGAAAAAAATTAACTATCAAACTGTATCTTATCGTATCGTATTGTTTCGTGTTATATCTTATTGTAACGTATTGTATTTTATCGCGGATTAAGAATACGGGTTGTCACCACCCCATTCATCCCGTGGGTGTCGTAAGAGCCGACTAAGGGAGCAAACTACGTAGGACAACAACACTGCAAAGAGAAGGAAAACTTGACGCAAACCCTATACCAACCGGTCTGGCCAGCGTGGTATAGTTTTCCAAAACCTCCTTTCTAAGGAGAGGCATAGGCCTCTCCTTAGAAAGGAGGTTTGAAAGGAGGATGATGCTGGACATCCTCCTTAGAAAGGAGGATGTCCAGCAGTGGACTGTTAAAGGCTGTTGATGTGATGGGATGTATTTTATCGGACGAGCCGGTTGGTCTAGTTTAAATTGAATTTTTATTTATCTTTTTTACTTTAGTTTACGATCAGACGGCCGTATCGGGTACAGGGACGAAGCCACCAGTGGTTAGGACTCCAAAAACAGCAACCTCTTTATAATATGTGCCGTGATGTACTGCTTTCTGTATCAGACCATCAGATCCGGCTGCCTAACGCGAGACTCTGATGATGTTGGTCGAGGCTCAATCAATCCATGGGCTGATATGACTGTCGGTACAATGATTGCCGAATCCACATCGCAGATGGCGACAATCTCATGAGCCAAATTATTATTGTATCGTGCCGTATTATACAATATCGTAACTATTTATCGTCAATAGAAAGCGTTGTCGTAACGTTTTATTTTGAACTGCCACTCTGCGCCGGTAACGCACGTTTAGATGCGGGTATGTGCCTACATTTTATTTTCATTGGTATTGTTGTATCAGCGCATGTTGCGTTTAACATGTCAATTAGGTAAAAATGTACAAACACACTTATGTAAATGTAACTAAATACTGGGTTGAATTGTTTGGAATAGGAATGATTACATCTACATTTTCACGAATATCTCCGGTGTCGCGGGAGACTTTACAGACAAACATCAAACGGACACAAGGAATACATAGACTCAGAACTACAATTTGTTGTCCCGTGTAGGGATCGAACCTACAATACAGTAGGAAGCGGCAAGGTGACCGCTTAAACCTCTAAGCCATCCGTGCAGTCTACATCCATGTAAAACGATGCTGATAAATATATTTTCGAATAGTTTTTTCTATTTATTTGTACAATTTTATTGCTTACTGCCAATTGAGTCAGGTTACCAGAGCGCAACGGGTTGGGTTTGGGTCTTCCCCCTTAGTTTCAAGGGAGAGCACTTAAAGAGCAACAAAGTCATTTGAGTTGCAAGTATTCATGGGCGGTGGTAATCTCTTCTAATCTGGTTACTCATCAGCTCCTTTGATGAATGTATCATAAAAATATTGTATCACAACTAATATGTACAAGTCGTGTAAGATTTTATACAATTTTCATTTAGTTTTAGTTCAACTTTTAAAACTAAACGCAGGTTTTTATCCTTTATGTATAGATACAATGTGACTCCCAGTACGGTAGTTAATAAAATGAGATAGAGCCGCCTTTCGAACCAAATAGAAATGTAGACAAAGATTGCTATTTTACACAAATGCTACTTATTAGCTAGTACATTACTTATTAGCTAGTAGTGTAAAACATAGGACAAATTATTATAATTTTAAGTAATTTTTTCATAAAAGCCGACCAATGAGTTTTCTTCTCCCCATTCTCTTCTATCTCTCGTCAGTTCACTGCTTACACCCTTTCTAGCTATGTATATCCTCTTTTACGCAGACCATTCATTTTTTCATTTGTCGTCCTTTACTCTTACATCTGTCAACTTCCATTCATAAAACTTTATTTGTCATATTATTAGTTAGTTTTGTAGGAGGGGCTCGTGGCTAAATAGTAATCGAGTAGGTTACCACATCATTGCAAAGTTAAGCAATCCTTGTCAGGTCTATGGATGGGTGACCATTCTTAACAGATTGAGACCCCTCCTTGCCTCGAAGAGCACGTTAAGCTGTTGTCATATGAACTTCTGTGGCAATCGTTGGAGCCCTAAAAAGTCCGACAAATGTCCTTCTACAGAACTTCGATATCGCCTGCTTGGGTTGTGGAGGTCTGATGGCAGTCGCTCCCATTCAATTTAGAAATACCGCCATCTAGTATTAAAAATTAAGGACTGAAAAATACAGTTACAAAAATACAGGTCGTTGTTATTTTCTTTTTTGTTAATTTTAAATTTAAAAAATCTAGCGTAGTGGTGTGTGGCGTAGTGGTTCGTGTAACGGACTGCTATTCCAAAGGTCGCGGGTTCGATTCCCGCTCAAGTCAAACATTTGCATCAACATTTAATGTTTGATTTAGTCTGGGCGTTTCTATGTATAATATGTATGTTTTTACAAAAAAATATATATTTATTATTTATATCAGTTGTTTAGTACCTGTGTTGCTATCTTATTTTTATTATTATTAAATTATCAGCAATATGCACGTAACACGTCGGATGCCAACATCCATAGACTTCAGAGACTACTCAATAGACGTCATGGAATTCTAATCAACTTCAAATCTGATTTACAAATCCCGAAAATAGCGACTACTAATTCAAATAACAGTTATCAATGAAGTATTATTCCATTCAAAAGTAATTTACTTTCTTTTATCGAAAAGTTTCAAAAGTTAAAAATGCGGCGGGTAAAATAAAGCGCGGGTAAAATCCGAAAAGCTGAATTTTGTCGGCGTCAAAATATGACCAAGTGCTGCCATTAATTGGGTAGCGTAAAACAATATGTAGATTTAATGGCTCATGAGTTGAAGCCGACCGTTTATAATTAATTACACTTTAAAAGAAACATTTTATCTGTAGTTTAATGTTTATTTCGATTAATAAAATTTAAAACAATTTTTCAATTAATAAAGTGGAGATTTATAAATACATAAACCTCGTGCTATGTTTGTTTTAGTTGGGATTGGCAGATGTGTAGGACATTTACATATGTAATGTACATTTTGTGAGAACGGAATACTCAAATGATGGCAGTACACAAGTGCCTTAACTTGCATGTTTTTTTATAGAATAGGGGGAAAAGGAGCAGACGGGTCACCTGATGGAAAGCCACTACCGCCGCTCATGAACTCCTGCAACTCAGGAGTCACAAGCCATGAACGGCGCTTTTAATTTATAATAATAATAATATTTCGAACACAACGCCATCTAGTTTCAAACTAAGCAGAGCTTGTACTATGAAAGCTACATTTACTGATAGAATACTTAAATACTTTTTTTTTGTAAAACATACATAGAAAACACCAAAACTCCGAAACAAATATTTGCATATCATTCAAAAACATTTAACAGTGCGCCACCGAGGCAGTTAACGGTGAACTGGTGAACCGTCTATTCCTTTGCCTTTTATCATCATCAGTCTATCGTCGTCCATTGCTAAAGGAAAGCCTTCCCCAAGGAGCGCCAACTATCCCGATCTAGAGCAGACCGCATCCATCTGCTGCCTGCCACTTTCTTCAAGTCCAAAACATTAGAAATGTTAGGTGAATTGCTTATTGTCTTATTTAAAAAGAATACTTATTAACTTTTAATTCAGGCATTATAAACGAGTATTTCAGTTAGTATTTAAATTACTTTGACTAGTCCATTGGTATTCCTTGTGGTGACGGATTAAGAATACGGAATGTCACCACCCCTAGTCATCCCGTGGGTCGTAAGAGCCGACTAAGGGAGCAAACTACGCCGGACAACAGCACTGCAAAGAGAAGGAAAAGTCGAAAAACCCCTATATCAACCCGTCTGGCCAGCGTGGTATAGTAGCAAAACCTCCTTTCTAAGGAGAGGCCTATGTCCAGCAGTGGACTGTTATAGACTGTTGGTGATGATGATGATGATGAGTGTATTTATTGAAATAATCAGCTGGACCGTACAGCAGTCCAGACCATGTCCAAAGTTCACATTTTTTTATTAGGGAAATTTGTTTAAAAATACAAAGAATATTAAAACAATTTCGATTCGAGTCCGATTTGTGCAAAAAAGACGTGATAAACTGTGAATATTTATAGTAACAACGCAAAAAAAACACGCTTCATATGGAAATTCTCTTGAATTTTTATAATTATTCTATTTTATGGTTTAAACAACTTGAAAATATTGTTTTATTCACTGCAATGGTTACAACTATTATAAATAATCATAACGCCATCGCATAAACGTGAAAACAGCCTTGTGTAATGTGTCTATTTGTTGTAGCAGCATTAGATAAACACACTCTGATATAATTTGGTCTATATACTTATTACTCGTACAAAGTACAGCCTGAACATTTCTTTTATAAAGGTTTCATTCATTCATAACTTTATATACAGACCACAGACAGACAGAATAGATTTAGTACGTAGCTATAAGTAGTAGGGTTCTGTTGATGCTAACCCTAGTAAAAAAACCAAATCCATAAATTTTACCGTAACGGTTCTGGCACCATTTCATTTTCTCTGAAGAATAGATGTATGTTAGCGATGGATCATTAATTCTGTTTAACACAAGGACGTTCAAACCATTTCTCACTCCTGTTTATACTCGTATATAACATACATATAAATAGGTACGTACAATGTATGTTTGACTGCACGGATGGCGTTTGGTTTAAGCGGTCGCCACGCCGCTTACTACTACGCTGAGTGTTGTGGAGACGACACTTTGTATGATTCACAAATTGTTGTTTTGAATCTGGGTGTTCTTTGTGTCCGTTTCATGTATGTTTGTAAAGTCCCCGCTACACAGGATTTATTTCTAGTGCGGGAGTTGTCTATTTTAAGAAAGAATAGTCACCATAATTCTATTTTTTCTATACATACTCACTTTTCTCTATCAGAATATTTAATAATAATAATAACTTCACTTCACTTCACTGTCACACGGGGCCGTCTGGTTCCATACTTGGCAGAGTCTGTGCTATGGTAACCAGACTGCTGATAGACATAATCATCAGACTATCGCAGTCCACTGCTGGACATATTTTAATAAACATACTTACATATTTCTAAATACATACATATAGATAAATTACACCCGGACACAGAACAAATCCACATGCAAATCACACAATTTATTCCTGGGTGGGCATCGAACCCACGAACATTTTAAAATAGTTACACCCGTATTTTAAAAGTCACAACACTTTTCCACCCCACTTCCTAGAATTTGGGCTCCGGAAACCTCAAATAGCAACAAAATAGTTGCTTAACGCCGGTTTTCTGTGAGACTTTGTCATCACTTCGGATGAATCGGTTTGATTGTGCCGAAGAATGGTTGCAAAGCAACCTGCTGCCATTCTTAGTTAACTTAGGTAACATTCTAAGGTAACAGACAAACAGATAAAATTAGAAAGTTTGTCCATCTGTCTGTCTGTTACCTCTTCGCGCTTAAACCGCTGAACCAATTTTTATGACATTCGCCTATTTACCGCGATAACCGACATACAAGCGGGCAGAGCCACGGGCAAAAGTTAGTAATTATATATTTCTAGTGTACTGATGGCACAGAGGAGGACAGGAGAGCACGAAACTTTAAACCATAGGCGACTGTGCGACCCCGGTTAAAAAAAGCAATAGTAATAGAATTGACAAATGCTGAATACATTTATTACGAGTAAATGTCACTTGGTTTTGGATCCGAAACTTAAGACTTAAACAAATATTAGTAAGTACTATTTTTGCATACTCATATTTGTGTTCTTGACTTTTTGTCTTATTTTAAAATAAACAATTGTAATCCTGTGTAACTTTAATTGCAAAAATATTCAGTGATGAATTACTTGGCCATGCCGTACCGTGCTCAGTGCACGTGGTGGCTTGAAAATGAGTGCTCATTAAGTGAGCTTCAGTTGTAGTTTTAATATGATTAAATTTATTATTAAAGGTTTAGTTGATTATTTAATGTAATGATTACATGTTTTTCTATAGCCCACTTATGGTAATCATGTTTGAATTCGTTTGATTAGTTTAGAAACCAGTAAAAGTATTTTTAAACTCGTAAAAATATATGATAACGAATCATTAGCCGAGCACGTCTGGGCTCCGGTAACCTATCTCACTCGGTGAAGGAACACGAAACACTGCTTAATGCAATTATCGGTTTTCTGTGAGGGTGTGTGGTATCACAACAAATATTAGTCAACTATAGCGTGATTAGTACCTACAATATTAAAGGTACAAATCTATAACTACATACTACATGAGTATTGCATACAGACCTTTACACATCATCATCATCAACAGTCTTTACTAGTCCACTGCTGGACATAGGCCTCTCCTTAGAAAGGAGGTTTTGGCCTAGTGTACCACGCTGGCCAGACGGGTTGGTATAGGGTTTGTGTCAACTTTTCCTTCTCTCTGTAGTGCTGTTCTCCTGCGTAGTTTGCTCCCTTAGTCGGCTTTTACGACCCCCACGGGATGAATAGGGGTGGTGACACTGTGTATTCTTAATCCGTCATCACACGGACACTTACACAAAACCGCAGAAGCTCAGCGTTATTAAGTATTGTTGGCAGAACTCCTTGGTCAGCGAACATAACCAATAATTATCGTCAACGCTACAATAAAATCATTCACATTACAACCAAAAGCCTTATTAATCCTCATTAGTCTTATTTGAGCATTTTCAAGACCAAGATATTTTTATTTTAAAACTTCCTTTGTTCAAAAGTGGTCTTGACAAAGAAGCCACAAAGTGGTACACATTCAGTTACAAAACGCTTCGTAAAAATGGAACAAGAATCTCACATAAGGGGCCATTAATTCTTGTGTAAAATAATAGGAAGGCTTTAATGGCTCATAAATTATATAGCCATTAAAGAGGATAGTTTTTATGGCAATCGTAAAATATAAGATTGGTGATTAGATTTTGTGATAGACATTCACTTAACGATTTTTTATGTGATATTAAATTAATGTAATAAATAAATAAAAATATTTTCGGACATTGACACACAACGCCATCTAGTTTCAAACTAAGCAGAGCTTGTAATATGAAAGCTAGATTGACTGATAGAATACTTACATCTTTTTTTTGTTAAAAAAAAACATACATATTATACATAGAAAACACCCAGATTCCGAAACCAATATTTGCAGATGATACAAGCATTTGCTCCGACCCGGGAATCGAACCCGAGACCTAAGCACAGCAGTCGCATACGTTACCACTGCACTGCACCGAGGCAGCAATATGTAACATTAATTTTTATAATATCAGCTTTTCCGTGCGTGCGTGCGTGAATTTCCGTGCGTTTAGGCGATTCTGCCATACATATTATAGAAATCAAATATAGCTCATGTAGGACCCGTAATATTTTGTGGCCGGGGTGCTTCCCTGTTTAAAAGGGTGTATGCCTATTTTACTTCATTTTGTCTCCCGCTTTGCTAAGGAGGGAAGTGGATTTACTGTATTACCAACTCCTCCAATTTTCTTCTGATTAATTTCGTTGCGGGTTCCAAGACAGTTTAATTTCTTCCTGGGACTTCCCGAGTGTCATAACTCGGTGTGTTCGTGGGTCACTGCTGTGGATCCTGGTGCACAGGAGTTACAGTGGTGGGCGTGTGGGTGGGATTAGTCCCAATAAAAAAAAATATCAGCTTTTGGCAGCGGTTTCGCACGCGGTAATCTCGATCATGTCAATATTTTTCTTTTTAGACGTTCTGGCATGATCAAGTAACAAACATACATTTATTCATCCATCTGATTCATCTATTCAATTTTTTACATTATAAATACTGCAAATTCCCAAAGAAATTAAATCTGATCCAACTTGATTTGTCTTTAATCCCAAAATATATCCACAATGTCACTGTAAACATGTGTAAACAGTGTCACTGACTTCAGCATGCGTCTCCTGATCATCATAATAAAGTCCAGTAAATTGTATTTTTCATTACTTAGTTTTAAATCTTAAGAATGGATTATTTAACAATTTTACTAAATCCTCTCAAATAAAACAAGAATTTTGTACATAGATTCATAAATGACGTAGTCAGAGGACTTAACATAAAAATGCAATCAAATCAAGATCATCTCACCTTAAGATCACGTTGTGTCTACCTACTACGCTGAGTGTTGTAGGGTTGAAATGGGACAACACTTTGTATGATCCAAAAATTGATTGTCTGAGAATGGGTATTGTTTGCGTCTGTTTCATGTATGTTTGTAAAGTCCCCCGCGACACAGTATGTATTTCTAGTGCTGCAGTTGTCTTCTAATTTTAATTAAAAAACTTTTAAAGTCTATTATCTAATAAATTATTCTGCGTTCTTTTTACATTCAATTTCTTGTTTTCAACTTCTATATTCATTTTTTTTTTCTTATTTTCAACAGAGGGAGCTGAACGCTGTGGATTTCAAGGTATCAGCAGATCTCAAGTTCGTGCTGCTGATCTCGGACGTGAGACCGGGCTGGCGACACGCACGGCTCGCGAGGTATCACGTGTATGACGTCATAAACAGGTTTGTGATACAAATTAAAAAAAAAACTATACAAGTTGCTAAACAAATGCATAATCAAATTTTAGCTCCACACAGATTAGCATTATAAAACTGAAAATACTTATAAAAGTAATATTCTGTAAAAACTGGCCTGTTGGTCTAGTGGTTGACTGCTAAGCCTGAGGTAGTGGGTTCGATTCCCATCTTGGGCATGTGGGGAATGAGTACGATCATTTGTCCTGTTTCTGGGTGTAATTTATCTATAATGTGTATGTATTTAGAGATATTTAAGTATGTTTATCAGCAGTCGGCTTAACACAGCACAAGCTCTGCCTAGTTTAGGATCAGACTGCAGTCACATTTTAGCCTGCATTCTTTTCTAGGTTTGAGAAAAAAAATTGCTATATTTATCCTCTTTAACCGTTGTGTTCAGGAACAAAATTTCAATATCTCCAATAGAAGACGATCGCTCAGCGCCACTGCTGCAGTACGCGGAGTGGTCACCGGTGGGCTCCACCCTGGTCTTCGTGCACGACAATGATATATACTATAAGCCGAAAGTCTTTAAGACGCTGGTGTGTAGAATTACTAATAACGGTAAGTACAACTATAAGTAAAAGGGTGTCTTTTCACCCAATTGCTAAAGGAGGCCAACCTACCAACCTGCCAAAAGGAGGTTTATGCTTCGTTTATGTATCTGTGTATGTTTATTTTTTTTGGCATGCTCTCTAGCCCAAACGGCTTGATGAATTTTGACGTTTGAGGTGTCATTAGATTCGTCTCTCAATAAGTGAGAGTGACACTAGGTATATAAAATTATAAAAACTTAAGTTGACAGTTTGTAAATTTTAAGTATACATTTTGACGGTTTTTCTTTTTTTTATTTAATAAATAGCTTGTTGACCGTCTTTAAAAAAGGAAAAAGTTTCAAGTTCGACTGTCTTTTATGTTTATAATCAAGTGTGAACCGATTGGGAATTATATTTTTATTAATTAAATTGGTTATACGTAAGACTGGTTGTTTAAAAAGGGAATAAAGTTACCTCCAATGGTGATAACTTAAGCTATGAAGTATACAATAGCTTATAATAATTAATTTATCATGGTTTAGTAGCATTAAAGTCTGTTATATTTTTATTTTTGTTATCTTGTGTTTTATTTCCACGCTTTAAATGAGCGTAACGAATTATTAAGAATTTTTTAAATGTCTATATTGCTTGTATTTCCTCTAAATATTTTAAGTTTAGTCCTTAACATTTAACATTATTTTACCCAAATCGGATAACATAACAACGAAAAATGAATAGATTTGTCGACCGCACGGTGTGACGTATCTTGTTGCATAATACGAAAATAATATAAAACCCAAGGATTTGACATTTACGAAGCTGTAGCGACTGAGTTGAATTGTCAGTCACTACTACCCTCTTAACTATCCGACATTTTTCTATGTTTTTCTATGAAATCATTTTAAAACAATGTAATATTCTCTTACAGGTATTCCAGGAGTCATCTTCAACGGTGTACCAGACTTTCTTTACGAGACCGAAGTCCTGAGGCTGGACAAGGCGGTCTGGTTCAGCCCTGACGGTCAGACTCTGATGTACGTCACGTATAACGACTCTCTTGTACAGCAGCACAAGTATCCATGGTATGGGTTGGACCTGCAGGAGCCGCCAGCTTATCCCACGATCAGGACTTTGAGGTATCCCAAGGTAAGACTCTTAAAGCTAATGATAAGTGTAACGGACTGCTATGCCAAATTTTCAGGTTCAATTTCCGCTTAATTCAAAATGCTTGATTTGATCTGGGTGTTTCTATGTATAGTATGTGTGTATTTACTAAATAAAGTATTTATGTAATTATATCAGTTGTCTAGAACCCATAGTACAAGCTCTGCTTAGTTTGGAACTAGATGGCGTTGTGTATGTATGTGGTAGAACATTATTTTATTATTATTATTAGAAAGGAGATTTTGGCCTACTTGGCCAACCACGCTGGCCAAACGGGGTGGTATAAGATTTGTTTAAAGTTTTCCTTCTCTTTGCAGTGCTGTTTGCTTCCTTAGTCGCCTCTTACGACACTCACGAGATGAACCTCCGTAGTCTTAATCCGCACGGACGAACTAAAAAATATTGCGCTTAACCATGTTTATCATTATTACTAAAACTAGTATCTCAACTTTAAAAGTTCCCTACTCAACATAAGCTTTTCTGACAGCCTTGAGAGCCTTTCACAAAGAACGGTCTTACATTGTGGAGGAACATCAACCTTTGAATACTTAAAATGTATATACAGAAAAAGTATAGAAAGCTAAAATGATGTAAAAATACGAATACTAATAGTAAAAAACGACTGAAATGCAATTTCCCGTAATATACTAATAATAATCTCACACGTCTCACACGCGGCTGTCTTTTCCCAAACTAGTCAGAACCTGTACTATTGTAACCAGACTTCTGTTAAACATACTTATATATTTCCGAATACATACATATTATAGATAAATTACACCCGGACATAGAACAATTGACTGCACGGATTGCGTAGCGGTCGCCACGCCGCTTCCTACTACGCCGAGTGTTGTGGGTTCAAACCCCACACGGGACGACACTTTGTGTGATCCACAAATTGTTGTTCTGAGTCTGGGTTCACAGTTCACTTCAGTATTTACCAAATGAACTCGTGCCTGAAACTGATTTGGATCCTCTTACACATCCTATACGACTGTAAGTACCTCTCACGTAAGACGCAATTCTAATTTCATCTCTTGCTTATATTTTACAGGTGAATACAAATAATCCAGTATTAACAGTGAACGTAGTGAGCGTGAAGACACCCAAGTATCTGTTCTCACACGCCATACAGTTCAGTTCACAAGTAGACGACAGTAAGTATCAATATTACTTCACTTGCGACTTTATTTCTAACAGCTTTGAGTTCAAAACCGAATTACAGTCAAAATTTTTATCCATACATATTCTGGAAATCTTGAGATTGAGGTGATGGAAGTGACGAAATAATTTATAGAATTTTAAATGTAGTGTCATTCGTAGAAGATGATATTCATCACAAATTCACCTAAAAGTTATATTTCTAAGAACAATAAGAAGTTTTCAGTTTTGAAAAGTAGCACTATCACTTATTCAAAACTAAAAGCAATCAACATCATCATCAGCCTATCGCAGTCCACTGTTGGACATAGGCCTCCCCCAATTGCACGCCACATAGATCGATTTTGGGCTTCTCGCATCCAGCTCCTGCCAGCCATCTTGCGCAAATCGTCACTCCACCTGTGGGCGTCCTACACTACGTTTGCCAAGACGCGGTCTCCACTCAAGAACTCGTTTTCCCCAACGTTGTTTTTCCCGTTTTTTTTTTGTTTCTCTAAAAACAATACAAAGACTTAACTTAAAAAGAACGGAAACGATGATAGCTGCAAAATTATGAAACTGGCACAGCTACTAACGCTTGATAGGAAAGTAGACAAGTAGACAAACAAGAAGATGAAGAAGAATTAAGATTTGTTTAAAGAAGAGAATATATTCAGTGCTCAAGACCGAGGCAAGGTTGTGACAAGTTACTTTGCCACTAGCGTAGCACGCTTAGGTACATTGTACTTAGTTCTATCCTTAGTTCTATCAGCAGGGATTAACAGTTCGATAACACTCATGTCTAGAATACGAAATAATATGTATTAATTTGAATTTTCCTTCGTTTTGAGTTACCTCCAATGTGGGAGTAATGAGTTGTCCTTTTAGATGAAGTATTGCCAGAATCGGATTGTCTTGAATGTATAAATCTTATTCCAGGTTGGTATGTTCGGTGGACGGGGTGGACGTCAGAAAAGCAGCTGGCAGTATTACTGCTAAACAGGCCGCAAAACATCTCCATCATTAGCATCTGCAGCGCTGTGCATTACAACTGTCAAGACGTAGGTGTTTATTTATGGCTTTGTTTTAGACTATAAAGCTACATATTATTTAGACTATAAAGTTTTAGTTCTAGATACTCTTTTTTCTCCCTTTCGTCAATGGTCAGAATTTTATTATATACTCGTACTTCTTAGTGTCCGCTACTTCGTACGCGTGAAATTGACCACAGCTATTACTAGGGACTAACTGTATTCCTGTCGTGATAAATTCTGGTAGCACAAATTAAAATATTTTAAATTTCAAACAACCACAATCACAAAAAAAAAAAATTTTCGATATTTATACTAGAACGTTGAAATTTCATGGCAGTAAAGATCCTGTTAGAAGAGGGGAAAACATATTGTTTAAATATTTAATATTACTCGTAGTAGATGGTATTTTTGAGAAATTGAAAATTACGTCATACAAAATTCTCCTTAGAAACAAATCTAACTTATGAATCTAAAGAGTTTTGGTTGTTTAAGCGCATTAACTGTTAAAATATCAACACCACCCTATGACCTTTTAATTGCAGATATTTCGTGACGAATCCGATGGATCACGGTGGTCAGGTCTCGGCTCTGAACCAGTAGAAGACGATTGTGGCTGGTGCGGAAGCATGGCTCTTGTTGGTTCCAAGTCTACCATCTTCACTACCATGCCGGTTTTAGACCAACAGCCAGGGGGAACTAGTGGAGGGGAGTGGAGGCACGCAGTTAGACTGACGCAGGATTCCAGAACAACATTGACGTTAGGAAGCTATGAGATTACTCAACTGCTGGGATGGGATGAAAGAAGAAGATTCCTGTAAGTGTACAGATAAGTTACAATAAATTAAGTTCGTGTCTTTGCAAAAGTTAGCGTTACTTTCACACTAACTATTTAATGATTTTGGACATCACAACATTTCGTATATACGTTGTCAAAGCTCTTCGTCAAAGTTTCTGTAAAGGGCATAGAGTAACTTCAGAAAAAAAAAATTTTAAATTAAAGTATAAAGAGAACAAATTTATCAAAGAAGTTGCAGCCTTCACTAACCATCAGAAAATTAATCAACATTACATCTTTGCAGATATGTTATCGGCACAGCACCAGACAAGGCTGGTGAGCGCCACTTATACAGAGTCAGTGTACCCGTAGACTATAGTAGCTGGCCCAACCCACCTGTCTGTCTAACATGTCCTGGGGTAGATGTAATGCCGCCAGACGCGACAATGGAACCATCTGGCGATGTCTTAGTGAGTATTTTAGCTTTTCTTTTAGAATAAAAGCTGCACAGTAGTCTCAAAGTATCGGATGAACTGACAGAGTCCGGGTGGTTGATGGGGATTTCCTTAGACAGTTTTCATTTACTTCATCCTGGCCTTGTTCCAAAGTTAATTGAAGTCTGCCTGTCTGAGACCCGGACCTGGAATATGTATAGTTATGATTGGAGAAACTAGAAGAGGGGTATCAACTGACTTGAACTATATATAAGTTTACGGGATTTAAGTGAATTTTAAGTCTGTAGTTGTAAAATATAAAGACAAGTCCAGTAATAATTCAAAATTTCGAATATTTCAAAAATTTAATAATATAAACTTTTATGATCATGAGCCATTAATAGTCAGCTGCTGGACACAGTCTTTTCTTAGAAAGTTGGTTATGACCTACTATACCACGCTGGAAATGGGTCGGTATAGGGTTTGTGTCAAGATTCCTTCTCTTTACAGTGCTGTTATCCTGCAGAGTTAGCTCCTTGAGTCGGCCTTTACCACATCTACGGGATGAACAGGGGTGGTAACACACGGACAAATGTTACGTTAACTTTTATACGAATCTGTAATTCCAGGATTTGGAAAATTCAACATCATCTCTACCAGCATGGCCCACGTCAACAGTTTTACCTCATGTAGCAGACGAGAATGATACCCTGCCTACTGAATGCTTGTATAATAGGATTACATTTAGCAAAAACTTCTCCTATTACGTACAGGTATGTATTATTCAATATTTGGTACTTTTAGACTTTAATTTCAATGTCAATTAATACCTTCGTTTAATTGATAGTCAGCTTTACTACTTCAAACGTCAGATTTGTACTTTCTCATTAAAGTATCATAATATAATATTTAGCTGAAACTTAATAATTCTCATCTTATTGTATTCTAGACTTTAATATAGACTGACTAGTTAACAATTCTGGAGATGGACAAACAGAAACCACTTTTCGGCATGCTTTGAGGATCGCTATGCATGGCTAATATAACATGTAGAAGCATATACCAGAAGCTAATATAACATTTTACACATTAGACTTCTTTTCATAGGAGTGCTTAGGCCCTGGCCCTCCTGCAATCTTCGTATGTGCTCGTTGGGGAGCCAGACGAGCTGTGCTTTGGGATGGACGTCCTCTCAGTCAAAAGTTCGCAGGTCTAGCTCATCCACAAGTCAAAGACTTCAGAGTTGAGGTGGGTTCTGCTTCAAAATTTCTAGAGAATGCTTTAAGACTGTGAGTTTTAAAACAGACCTTATTATACAGGTCCAAGCATTCAGAGCAGCTCGGGTGCGTCTGCTTTTGCCACCAGGGTTCAGAGAAACAGACGACCTGCCGTTACCATTGGTATTGCACGTGTAAGTAGAATTTGCCTCACTCAGATCTGTCAGACTTTATGTATTATGGTGATGATAAATTAATAAACTCGTGTCCAAATTATGTTAATATAAATTGACGACAGCACTATTTACATTATTTCAGATATTTCCAAATTATATTCATTGACAGTTTTTTTAGGGTTTAAATCTTTAAATGATTTCTACGTGTGTTACAATACTTTTTCTTTGAGAACTATTGGAAAACAGTAGTAACTGCATGGATGGCGTAGTAGTTTAAGCGGTCACCTCGCCGCTGCCTACTGCGCTGAGTGTTGTGGGTGCGATCATAACACTTTGTGTCATTCACAAATTGTTGTTCTGAGTCTGGGTGTTCTTTGTGTCCGTTTCATGCATGATTGTAAAGTCCCCCACGACACAGGATTTATTCCTAGTGCGGGTCTTTTCTTTTTGAAGAAAAAAAAGTAATAACACAAAGTATTTTATGTATGTCTGCAGTTCAGCGAAGCCAGGGGGACAATTGGTGACGGAGAGGTGGAAACCTAGTTGGGGCTGGTATCTTGCTGCTGCCAGAAACTTCATCGTTGCTGAAATAGACGCCAGAGGGTCTGGTGGACAGGTAATAAACGTTAAAGTCTTTAGCACCTATTATTTATTTTACTTTCGATTGATGATTAATTGACGTAAACGTTTTATCGTTTTTTTATCAGGGTGAAGAGCTCAGAACTGAAATTTACCACAAACTCCTATCAGTGGATGTAGAAGACCAAATAGCGGTATTATCGTAAGTTTTTTTACATTAATATTTTTTAATTATCAGAGAAAGTTATTAAATGCAATAATGTACAAAAGAAAACGAAAATGTTGATTGTGATAGATATGTTGCTGTATTCCAACTTTATTAACTGCGTAACACAAAACTATCTCGTTGGTGCAGTAGATAGTATATGCTACTGCTGTGCTGAGATCTCGGGTTCGATTCCTGGGTTGGACCAAATGTTTGTGCGATCTGCAAATATTTGTTTCGGCGTTTGGATGTTTTCTATGTATAATATGTATGCATTTACAAAAAAAAAAATTCTATCAGTCAACCTAGCTTTCATAGTACAAGCTTCGCTTAGTTTGAGATGGCGTTGTGTGTTAGAAGTCCGAAATATTTATTATTATTAATAATAGCACGTTGTCTTTGTAAAGTAAAGCCTGTATATTTCTATATAATTGATATATGATTCCTTGAATTAAAGACGTTATGGTGGGGACTTTAATTACCGTATGTTTAAAAACACTGCCCAAAAATTGTATAAAATATTGAATACCGCACATCTATTGAAAACTATTGTACTATGATATAATTTTTTTAACACTAACGAAACTTAAGAAAAGGGGCGAGTAGCTGGCTCGAAGGACCATGTATTTGATACTTCGATTTTAGTGATTAAAATAGTAAATATTTTTTTTTCATCAGGTACCTTCGTGACAACTTGAAGATGGTAGACGGCAGCCGCGTGGGCGTGTGGGGGCGCGGCTACGGCGGCGGCGCGGCGGCGGCGCTGGCGGCCGACGACGCGCACAACGTCACGCGCTGCCTCGCCGCCGTCGCACCGCTCACAGACCTGAGGCATCACAGTCAGTTACCTCGTATCTTTTTTCCTTTCTCTAGATAACACGAACTTAAGAAGGCCACAGAGAAAGGTGACGGGTTTAAGATTTAAGCTAACCAAATTGTAATTTGGCAAGATTTGTCTCGTTCCGTCTCTACCTTGTTCAGATTATCTTAGGCTGGTAGATGCTCTTTTTTGGCAAAGTAATTTGTTACTTCATTGGAGTAGCAAAATATGTTTCTATGTCGCCAAAGCTACGTCATCCTGGTTTTAAAGACATAGACACATTCGACCATATCATAATCATCATCGTCAACACCCTTTAGTAGTCCTTTAGTAGACATAGTTCTTTATTTATAAACAAGGTTTTGGCCTACTATACCATGCCATATACCATGTTTGTTTCAAGTTTTCCTTCTCTTTGCAGTGCTGTTTTCCTGCGTAGTTTGGTCCCTTAATCGGTTCTTATGACCCCATGAGATGAATAGGTGGGGTGACACTACGTTTCTAATCCGTCACCACACGAATTCAACTATATAAGTAACCTATAATATTAAGAACGTAACAAACTTTAAAGCTGAAACATGTCTTAGAAATAGAAAATCTATGCTTTTATGTTAAAATTTAAATTATTTAATTCATCTCTCATTTTATCTGTTACAGACTCCTATTGGACCGAGCGCTATAGTGGCTACGGCTCAACGTGGGCTGGAACCCTCGGAGTAAACGCAGTCTGGCGCAAGGCAGGCAACCTTCCTCCACGGCGGGTGTTGTTGGCACATGCAGCAGCTGACCTGGCCGCACCGCCGCATCATGCTCTGGCATTAGCACGCGCACTTATAAGGGCCACGGCCTTGTATACACATCAAGTGAGAGCCATTTTGTTATCTCATTTGTATAATTTGACCATCACAGATTGAAAACAAAAAGGGCATAGACGAAAACATAACTGAATTTTTTAATAATGACCAAACAATTTTTGATGAAAACACCGAAAATTGAAAAATATTATTTACACGATACACTGTTATGTTAAGAGCAGCCTTTCCTTAATTATTCACCAAAATAGTCATAGTTAAGATCAAATCACAGTTTACATTAAATCTACTTTCTCCTACTTCAATTTTCAGGTGTATCCAGACGAAGGTCACAACTTCTCCCGTTCTACAATACACCTCCACAAGACCATGGAGCAATTCTTCGACGAGTGCTTTGGACCAGTGGAAGTAGCAGACTGGGACACCGGTGGGGTCGGCGGGCTCTTCCCCTTCAGGGATTAGTTTACTTAAAGGACTTCCAGGAATGGAATATGAGGGTCATCAGCTAGAATGAAGTTAAGTTTGGCGGAATATTAAAAACTTGAATTTTGACCGTCTTGGAAACCAGATTATGATAGTTGGAACTGACGGTTTAGTAAAAAACGGTATTAGATAATTATCTATTTTTTTTTTTCTCTTTAAAAAAAGACATCCCGCATTAGGAATATAGGCTGTGTCGCGGGGACTTTACAAACATACATGAAACAGACACAGAGAACACCTAGACTCAGAACAACAATTTGTGGATCACACAGAGCCGTCCCATGTGGGGATCGGACCTACAACACTCAGCGTAGTGCTGTGACCGTGAGTAAGCGGCGAGGTGACCGCTTAAACCACTACGATATCTGTGCAGTCATTTGAATGCATAAAGATACAAAGACCAGAAAATACTTTTGTTTTTGCTGGAAATAAATTCTTACTTTGTCTATTCGTTAAAAATGTCATCAAACTTCATAAAATGGCTGTGACTATTAAATATATTTTCATAGATATTATCCATTAGATATATCTGAATACTAATACTTATTATTGGTTTAGAAAATACAAGAATCAAGTTTGGGAACAACATGTTAAAGTGATTCAAACCAATTTAATGAGAAAATCGTCTTTAGTAATTAGTGAGAGATGGATTGATGGATGAAGAAGAAAAGTAAGGAATGCCTGCAATCAGCCTGGGTATCTCTTAGTATCTTTTATGGTTCTTCGATTTGAAGTTTCATCTATCGTGATCGGTTGTCAACGAAAGTGTTACAATCTTAATGATGTCTTCCGCCAAACAAAAATATTATTAGCTAACAAAAGTTCAAAATGGTGTGTCAAAATCATAATAAAATTCAACAGTATTATAAAAAACTATAAACGGGTGTTGATATTTGAAAGCACACAAAAACTTAAGATGAAGTGAAAGTATTTTCTTGAAATAATAGAAGTGTAGAATTTCTTGGACTGGAAAACAGATGTCGCTGTTATAATTGAAAATTCAAAATGGCGTGCAGAGTATATTGGCAAAGGTATTCAAGGCAATATTCTATATGAAAATATAATGCCAAAAAATTACTTCCATGTTTGTTTGTGATGTTAAAAAATTGTGTTTATGAATATAAACATGACTTTTTAAACATAGTTATCGTCGTGGCGTTCATTGTCTTCTAAAAACAGTCAAAGTAAAACTTATGCTACATCAAAATCGCATGCTGCTTATAAAGAAAAGTCATTCTTAATTCCCAGTCTGAGGATTTAACCAGTAGGTTAATAAACTTGAAATTAAATCTCAAATGACGATTTTATGGTGCATAACTGCAAAATAGCAGTAATATGTAAGCCTAACTACATGCTAATTAGATAAAAAGATCAAACAATAAAATATTACAACTGTTGGTGTTTAGGAACATTATATCGTATTAACTTTTATGAAATATATGATGTGAAATTCGTGAACAATTTTGTTAAAACGCTCACTTTGTTTTCTATTTTTGAAATAAAAGCTTTTTTTTTGGGCGCGTTGGGCATTTGGAACAACAAACAAAATAATGTATTTTTTGAGATGAAAAAAAAAACATTGAACTTGCGACACTGTTACCGTTACCTCTGTATATAAGTATCGACATGTATTGGCCCCGTTTACACGAGAGTTGATTTTGGGTTGAAATACATTTTTTTTTTCCAATCGAAGTGATATCGAAACACACAAGAGAGGCAACGCACGTGTGTCTTATGATTTGCTGGTGTCTATGGTTGGAATTTGTCGCTTGTCATCAGGCGACCTACATTTTTCTCGACCTAGTTTTTGTCTGATTGTATTTCACTCCCCACTATTGCTATTACATTTGATTGACGAATAATACTACAATTTATTTTAAAGTGTTACAGTGGTTACAGTTTTTAAAATACGATAAAAATTGTTCACAATTTAAATTTTAGGGGTAAATGATCCCTGAGAATTTTCTTATGATTACTATAAGGAGAAGATAAACTTATTTTAGTGTATAATGTATCAACTTTGATCTACTCTATATATTTCTATGTCGCTTTCAATGTCAAAAAAGTAGCTTTAAAAGTATACTTAGGCACATACATCTGTCAAAGAGATTTGAATTAAGTTTTGACTATTCTAGTCGTAAAATGTAGAAACTTAGTCTATGTCTGTGTATCTATATAATTTTGGGCACAAATATCTCCTTCTAAATTTAATTGTGACCTTGAAGAGCCATGTCAGATGTAGTACGATATAGTATTTACAATAGAGTTTGGTGTTCTATCGGAAATAATATAAATATTAAAAATAAATATATTTATCAATTATAAATGTCTTATCAGCTGTTGAAAGTTCATATTTTATATCACTTATTATTGTACTGCATATGACAATGAAAAAATCTTTGAACGTCAGTTTCTTATTAATCTCTATCTAATTATTTTTATATTGCACACCTATAAATAAGGGTTTACGTCCCATCTACGACGCGCAGAGGGAAACGGAACGCAATTTTTCACGAACCTAGCACATATAATCTAAAACGAGAAAGAAGAAACCTTTTATATATGTATTTAAATCGTTTTATAGTCCTATTATATTAATAGCAATTTCCACAATTATTGTATTCTTCAAGTGTCGTTTTCTTATAATTGTTATGTATAAGTATATTTACATAAATGACTGACGTTCAAAATCTTTGTTTCCTATTCTTCTCTCCTCTTTTAAGACTTGTTGTACAATACGTCATTAATTTTATTTTAAACATAATAAATATGGTTATGTAATATTTGTTAAATAAATAAATATTCGATCGATGTTGAGACTTAAATTATTAAGAATGTGATAGGTGTTTTTAAATAATTTATATTATAATTATAATAATTAATTGGAATTTATTAAATTTTAATTATGTAACCATTTTGGCGGTAAAAGGTAGTTAAATGTAGGTTATTCCTACTTTTTGTCCAACGATATTTTTGTAATTAATGAACAAAGTTTTACCTAATTGGAATTATTCAGTTACAAGTAAAAAAGTTTCCGTACTTACCAACTTTAAATTTTATAATTTAATTTTAAACTAACAAATTCCCTTTACAAACCTAGAAGTAAGTAATACCTAGGTATATTCAAATAATCTTATTCTTTCTTCCTATGATAAATACTAATATACTAGGGTTTTTAATTTTTCTTAAAAAATATTGTAATCATTTTTTTAAATTAAGTAGAAATTAGAATTTTGAGTTTTGAAGGCTACATCTGATCTTAAAATATAAAAATTGAAAGTTTACATTCAAAGTACTTATTTCGATAGTTTCACAAGCGTCACAACTTTAGAAAAAAATACCAACTAGGTAGGTACATATCATGCAGCAGGTTATTATATTTTAACTATTAATTTAATACATCTAAGCTTTAATTATGTGACACTCGAAACCAGAGTAACCGGAGAATCAGTTCAATAAAATAGAATTGTAATTAACATGTTCATGAAGAATAATAAACAGATCCACCTAACTTTATAAAACGTGAATAAAATCAATCAGGTTAAAGTTGTTAAAGTTTTAGCTAAAGTAGCGCCATCTGTACGCTGGCCAGTTACATCACTTGTCTTGAGCTTTTCGCCTTCAGTAAGTATTTAAAATCTCGGTTTAAATATGTCAAAGTTCAGATTTTCACTTTTAAAATACGTAATTTTACTCGACTTGTAACTAAATAATTCCAAACCAAAAATTCTAAGTGATAGTCGAATATGTATGTATAAATTGATGCACGTAGCCGGTCGAGTTGTTATATCCCCATAGCGGAGCCATAGTGATACTGTAATACGTGTAACGCTCAGTGAATGGATAAATTGTGCATTGTTTACGTTGACACGTTGTTTTTATAAAAAAATATAGAAAAAAACTGTTCCTGGGTTTATTTTATTTATTCATCTACTGTTCTTGAGTGCTCTTCAAAAGAGTTCTTGAGTGGAAACTGCGTCTCGGCAAACGTAGTGTAGGACGCCCACAGGCCAGGTGGAGTGACGATTTGCGCAAGATGGCTGGCAGGAGCTGGATGCGAGAAGCCCAAAATCGATCTAAGTGGCGTGCAATGGGAGAGGGCTTGCAATGTCCAGCAGTGGACTGCAATAGGCTGATGATTCATCTACTGTGCATTTTAACTTTAAAAGTTATCACCGAGTTCATTGCGCCTAAATGGCGATAGTTTGCAATAAGTATGATTATGTTAATTTGCCACACCTATAAGATGCAACACCTATAAGATGCAACACCTTTTCATATGCAAAACATGCATAATAGCAGAAATCTATAATTGTTTACATAAAATTTTGGATAAAAATGATAATAGTCCTGGGATAGCCCTGCTTCGGCACAAACGGACCGGTAAATCTTTAGTTTCTTTTTAACTAAGTCCAGTAAGGCCTGCTCGAAACTTCGGGCAATGTAAAACCCAAATCTTTACTTTGTATAAAATGAAGAGGCTTTTTTTCTTGTACGCTTAGATCTTTTAAACTAAACAACGGATTTTAATAGGATTTCCACCAATAGAGAGAGCGGTTCACGAGGAAGGTTTATATGTATAATACATGCATATTGTAGCGGAGAAATGAAGAGAATTTCAAAGATTTGTCATAAAGAAAACATGGTTTTGCGCGCTTACATAGCAAACGCTTTCTAATCTTTACGAGATAGACCAAAATAATTTACTACGGAATTATATATCTTCAGAAGATCTATGTATGTCTGTCTCTTAAGGATAAAGTACAGTAACCATTTTTATCTTTTAAATATTACAAAAAAAAAATGGGTTATTTACGAAGCTATTTTAAACAATACATTATTATTCCTTAACGTTAGATACGTTGTGCATTTAATGTAGATCAAAATTGCTCTTAACAGCATATCATTAAAAAATATATTTTAGAAGTTATAAGAGGTTTAAAATGAGGGGACAAAGCGGCGCTTTGGCGCGTACAACAGTCGCGAGTGGCAGCACCCGGTGAGATGGGAGCGGGCCTATGAATATTGCATATAAAGATGTCCTGTGGTATAGTCATATCATAACAATAATATAATTAATTTCTCTACACTAACACCACATTAGTAGTCTCTACTTTGCACCCGTGCGAAGTTAGTTTTGTAATAATACTGATTGCGTTACGAAATACTTGAAGACTTAATTAGCTTTCGGCTGGAATATTAAAATTCTCATTTGTGACTCAACTGTCTTTGAGGTAATAAATAAATAAATGGATTATGGAATTGATTTTTTATTATCTTACACAGATATTATCACTTAAATTATAACAATTTGTATCTATTCTAGCCCGGAGTTGGCAGCGCGTTCTACAGGCATAGCACCACTCTTACACCTGAAAAGAAAAAATATATACATTTCAATACAAATTATATGAATTAGTAGGTTTTATTTACAAAAACAATAAACTACAAAAGCATAAGAGATGTTTATATATTTTTTAAAGACAACTCTCGCAGTAGGAATATATCCCGTGTCATGGGGATTTTACAGACATACATGAAACGGATACAAAGAACAACAATTTATGGATCACACAAAGTGTCGCCCCATGTGGGGATGAAACCAACAACACTCAGTAGACAGCGATGAGGTGACCGCTTAAACCACTATACGCTATCGTACAGTCAATCCATCATGCACGCAACCTTTCAACTCTCTTTCCTGCAATTGGTGGGACGGAAATATGTAACAGGAAGGTCGTGGAACGCTCACATTGCTAAAGTTGGACATCAGATGTTGCCCTTCTGCCGCCATCGAAAACGATAGTTCGTAACCAGTTGAGGAGAAAAAAAATCTTTTTACGAAATCACGGTTACGTCTAAAGAATTTATTTATAATAGTTTCCCTGTTTATAGTTTTTTTTTTATCTAAATCGGTAACCACTTTAACGGGAAAAACATCAAAGACTATTAATAAAGATTATTAGACATTTGAAACAAATAGGTACCTAATTATAACTGGTCAGTATTGAGTCATAAGTTTCTGTACGTAGGTCCAGTCATAAGGAGCACTATTTCCTCCCTTGTATGTATACGTCTTCGTAACCACGTTCGTACGTACGTAGTAGGTTTCGTAAAAAGAAAAAAAGGTCCTGGTTCGAAACTGGTTTCGTACAAAAATATTTTTTTCCTAATCAACTGGTTACGAATCATCAGTTTTTATACATATTATGTAACTATTGTAACGCTCACTCGTCTTTTTAACATACAGAATTTGACAGATCATCGCAGTCAGAACTTGGATTAAGATGCTGAAAATAAATTCATAGACATGTTACGTTTAGACTGCACAGATGGCGTAGTGGTTTGAGCGGTCTATACGCCGCTTCCTATTACGCCGAGTGTTGTGGGTTCAAATCCCACATGGGATGACACTTTGTGTTCTGAGTCTGGGTGTTCAGTTTCATGTATGTTTGTAAAGAACCCCGACACAGGGTATATTACTAATGCGGAAATTATTTTTTTTTTTTATTAGGACAAATCGTATACTATACGATAATCCTAAAGAATACTGACTAACTAAGAAGTACTGCAATTCTGTGTATGCTTACCTCTCACCAGTTTACTTCCAGCGGTTGTTCTCATAGTCCCATTTGGATGCAAGACCATCGATAGGGTTAACCTTCAAGTCCAACATACGCTTAAGTTGAGCCTTCTGGCTTTCTTCATTCAGGGACGCAGGCAGGTCACTGTATACTAGAAAATCAAAACATAGTGTCAATAAAAAATCACAAATAGTAATTATCCAATTATATTATCATTTGAAAAATATTTTTTGTAAAAATGAACATATTTCTACTAAATTTGTTGTGAAAAAAATGCAGAAATAAATATCTAAAATTATCATTATCATTAACAGCCTTTAACAGTCCACTGCTGGACATTGGCCTCTCCTTAGAAAGGAGGTTTTGGCCTACTATACCACGCTGGCCAGACGGGTGGGGGGTATAGGGTTTGTGTCAAGTTTTCCTTCTCTCTGCAGTGCTGTTGTCCGGCGTGGTGTGATCCCCTAGTCGGCTCTTACGATACGGTTTAGTTTAGTTAGAGTTAGACATCTAAAACATTTAAATAACCTTATGTAGACATATTGAGAAACTCCAAAAAAAACTAAACAATACATAAATAGGCAAAAATAACAATAATGTAAGTCTAAAAAGATTTGTACAGATTACAAGTCATTAAAATGGTTCAAAACGAATGAAAAATGAAATTACTCACCAAAGACCTTCATGCCCATGTAGACCCAGACAGCGAGAGAAGCCATGACGAGGGACCAGCCTAGGATGCCCTTCCACTCGCCCGTGGGCGCCTGGAACTCGGCGAAGGTCTGGCAGTACGACGCGCGGTACAGAGCTTTCTTCTCCTCGATAGTCAACTTGCGCCAGTCAGCCTTTTCCTTCTCACGAAGGACCTGGGAAAGGTCGACACTTTTAGTCTTACACATTCACTGTTACATAATTATTCTGTTTCTATAAGGGGCCAGCCATAATTTACGTCTTATGTTAAGGACCAGCGGGTCACATATTAAAATCTAAAATACTCAAACACAAAACATTATAAAAGAATATCTTAAAAAACTATTATTTCTTATTCTAAGAAATAATAAGGAAAGGTCAAACACAACAGTCAGATGCATGGCTTGGTGCTGGCCTGCAGGAGCTGTTGTTCAAGCCGGTCACTGTCCCATACCTGTTACTTGACCTGGCTCTTGCTACAGAATTCAGGAAGTAATTGTTTTTTTTTTATTGCTATGCTTATTCATATGCAATGCTTAAGCTGCTGCAAAAAGAAGAAAAACTTGAAACAAACCCTATACGAACCTATCTGCCCTCTGAGGAGAGACCTGTGTCCAGTAGTGGATTTTCAAAGGCTGTTGATGATGATGACAATGCTCGATAGTTACCTTAATGTCAGGAGTGTCAGGGCGGAATCTAACAGCGGGCATGGGGAAGTCAGGCCTGTCCACATAGTTGGGCTGTCCATTGTAGCCGTAGCCTACCCATTCGCGGTTACCGATCTGAAAACAAAAACGTTATACATTGAAAATACCACACTATTCGAAACAAATTATTTGGTGTAAAGCAGGCATTCATTGCCTGCTTTACACCAAATAATTTGTTTTGCATCCTTAACTTTTTTTAAGTTCCCCTTCCGTTAAGACGGGTTACTAGAGTAAAAATATTTTATGCATTGTTCAGTTTTGAATTTTAAAACACTGGGTCCGTCAAAAGATATTACCTTAGCAAGTTCGGTAGAAGAGGAAGAAGCTCTGGTGCAGAGTGGCACACGGACTGCATCTAACAGCGCACGGCGCATCAAGAAATTAGCCATTATTCTGTAAACAATATTTATTATTGAATAAATGCGATAATACAAGCGAAAATGACAACAAATTTTGTATCTAAATATTGACACAATGTTTTAAAAAATCACGAATAATTATGAAAACTTCAAAAAGTGTTGTCCCATGTAGGGATCGAATCTACAACACTCAGAGCATATGAGATAGGGTTGCTATACAATGTGGTTAATTAACTAATTGGGTGGGTTAACACTTAGATATCACAAATTGCTATTACGAGAACTGCATTCAGAGACTTGTATTTTTTCATATAATATGTTCTTTATCATCATCATCATCAACAGCTTTTAATAGTCCACTGCTGGACATAAGCCTCTCCTTAGAAAGGAGGTTTTGGCCTACTATACCACGCTGGCTAGACGGGTTGGTATAGGGTTCGTGTCAAGTTTTCCTTCTCTCTGCAGTGCTGTTGTTCTGCGTAGTTTTTTCCCTTAGTCGGCTCTTACGACACCCACTGGATGAATAGGGGTGGTGACACTCTGTATTCTTAATCCGTCACCACACTGTTCTTTATGCTACTAGTGTTTTGACAGACTTGTTTTAAGTCATTGACCAGTCTAACTTGAACTATCTTTGTATAAGCTCTTGAACTTCCAATATTGTCGAATACATCACATCATCAGCCTTTAATAGCCCTGCGTAGTTTGCTCCCTTAGTTGGCTCTTACGACAACCACAGGATGACACTCCATATTCTTATCCATCACCACATGGATAAAAAAAAATATTTTGACTAGATTATTTATTGCACGGATGGCTCAGTAGTTTAGGCGGTCGTCACGCCGCTTCCTACTAAGCCGGTTGTGGGTTCAAACCTCATATGGGATGACACCTGATGCGGGAGTTGTCTTTTAAAAAAAAAAAATGTGTACTGTAAATTTTAACACTTTATATATAAACATTATGTTTGTTTAAAAAGTAGTACAAAGAATTTTATAAGCATAATTTCTGATCGTAATATAACAATAAATCTCGAGTTATATCCTGTAATGAACATATACAGCAACATAACTCGAGACAATCAGCAGTTATGCCAGTAGAAAATTAACCATTAAACATATTTTTGAAATGGTCAGCTACCATTACGACAGTAGTCTTAATGATATTCCATATATTTTCATGATGTTAGTCCTACTAAAGTATAAATCTCATCAACAGGCTCTAATGGTCTACTGCTGGACTAGGCCTCTCCTTAGAAAGGAGATTTTGGCCTAATACCTATTATACCTAGTATAAATGTTAGTGATTGTTATATATATATATTTTTGAATGTGTATTATTATTCATTCTGTTTTGAACTAGTAGTTTAATAGTTTCCCTTAAGTTTATGGTTATTGCTCACCTTCCAATGATTCAAACTCACCATTATTGGCAGGTTATTATTACATGTAAAAAAGGTTGCCTTCATTTTAAACATCAATTGATATTGGTTCTATTTGTACTATTTCCTAAACAAAAATACTGTCTACTTCAAATGTTTAATTAACTAAAGCCACAAAATACTTAAACCCCTGTTTTTTTTATAGTTTCCAATAATGGTTAATAGTCCCCTAACAGTCCCCTAATAGTAGGCCAAAACCTCCTTTCTAAGGAGAGGCTTATGTCCAGCGGTGGACTATTAAAGGCTGTTGATCAACGGTTAAACCACCATGGGGGGAGTTTATTACATTATTCTGGTACATTCTGCAATTTGATACAGAAATATTTGTTATAATAGTTTTGTGGTTATGTGATAGAAATACCTCATTTGATACCCTTTATCTTTTAGTAATATGAATTTAATCTACACTTTAATCAATGTTTGTCCTACATTATTACATTGACTTCGAGGCTGGTCATACTTGACCCACAACAATTTATTTCCTATTATGTCTGTTCAATAATATATTGGATGATCAGAAAATTTTGCTTACATAATGCCAGGGATATAGCAAACAACACAGTACCTTCAATCTTCAATACCACAGAATACTGTGTTTGGAGGGAACAAAATCAATCAAGAATATGTTTTATACTTTAAGTTATTACAAGATACGACGACAACCGGATGGCTTAGTGGTTTGTGTAACGGACTGCTATTCCAAAGGTTGCGGGTTTGGTTCCTGCTCAAGTCCAACATTTATGTGCAGGAGCTTTTAAATCAAACAGATTTGGTCTGGGTATTTCTATGTATGCATTTACAAAAAAAAGTTTATGTATTTATATCAGTTGTCTAGTACCCATAGCTCTGCTTAGTTTGGACTAGATGGCGTTGTGTGAATGTGGTAGAATATTATTATAATAGACACATCAACTTGTTGACATTATTGTGCTCTACAAGATACCAATTTACTTTTATTTTTTTTTATTTTAAAGTAAAATACCTTAATCTGAATATTTATGTTTCATCCCACTTAATACAATAAAGATAATGTAGCCATGTCACAGTCAATAAATCAAAGAAATTTCTAACTTAAAATAATTTATAACACAAGGTCATTTTGTCTTATATACATCATCGATAGTATTTCGAGTAAATAGACTACCAATCATAAAAATTATATAAAACAGGATTGTATTACGGCTTATATCTCTATTTATACGACACCTTCGATATTTATAGAGTATCGTTACTGTAAAAGCGGTCGTATAGGTATTCCATCCATAGTCTATCTTACGTAAAATGACTATCTATCAGGTGAAAAACTGACAGATAAAACCGATATTGAGGTTATGCCCGCAGCGATCAATAGGGAAAAGTTACATAACGTAACCTGAAGTTTTATACATTAACAAATTAAATTTATATAAATTAAATCGAAGCGCTATATTGCCAACTTAAACCGCTAGAAACAGCTCAACTTATTGGCCCTAAATTCTAATAGAATTAATTTAAATATTTGAAAATAGAATCTACTTGCGTATCTGTCACAAGTGTTTTTATCCTCAACTTACCCAAATATAATAAGCTCAAAACACTAATACATAATATATATCAAGTAACACATCACAAAACACTAATATGGAGCTAAATAAGGTATATTTACCTTAATTATGTGGTTAACGTTCCTCTTAAAACAGTCTTCACCACCCTATAATGACCGAAAATTTTATCTAAGGCGGTGTTGCTATTTTAAAATTAAAAGTTCCCACGATGCAGTGGGAAGGTTAAAAAAATATTGTGTTCATTCTTGATAAATTAAACGGCTATCAAAGATTTCATAGTATGGAAAACATTATAATTTATTACCGATTCAGTTAGACATAATCTCAGTTATATTTCTCTGTATACATTTTTCATTTCTTTGAAGAAAATACAGGGAAATAGAATATAATGCAAACAATGATTTACATCAATATATTTGGCAATTTAGATTGTAGTTTTATAAAAATGGTAAGAATAAGATAAGTACTTTTACTGTTGTGATTACAAAGAAACACGGCAATTTTTATTTAAATGGCAGCACTGATTAAAGGCGACACCTGTCGGTGAATTTATATAAAAGTCGAATTGATTACTTCGTTTCATTCCACAGATTATGATAAACCATTATAACTAGGACTGTTCGTTAAATTGTTAATTTATTACGTTGCGATTATAATACTGACTGCTCGTATTGGTTTAATTAGATATCTGTTGTGGGTCCAATCTCCAAGTGGAGAACTCTTTGTGGATTACAAAAATTGTAATTCTGAGTTTCTGAGGCTGGGTGTTCTTATCCGTTTCATGAATGATTGTAAAGCTCCCCTCGACATAGGATATTATATATTATATTTTTTTAAAGGTTAAATATTTGTTTCAAAGTTCCTGGCTGGTTTCATGGCTTTAACAGCGTCCCTCATAGAGTGGCCTTGACTCATGAGTTCTCAAACTCAAAATATCTTCTTTACATAATATAGTCGCTTTTTTTTTGTTGTAGGTACGCTTAGATTTTAAACTAAGCAACGGATTTTAATGCGATTTTCACTAATAGAGAGAGAGAGAGTGATTCAAGAGGAAGGTTTTTATGCATAATACATGCATATTATAGTAGAGACAATCCGAGATTTTCAAAGATTTGCCTTAAAAACTTGGTTTTTTATTAAGCAAATCTTTACGAGATACACCAAAATAATGTTGGTAGGTACTACAGAATTCACCAGGGACTTCCTTTCTAGGGTATACCTGGTTCCCCGGCTATTAGTACCCGGCGAAGGCGTGCGGTTTTAGTCGGTTCGAGTCCGACATGCCACCGACAGGTGGTATCCGAGGGGATTTCCGCACGAAAAAAAAAAAAAAAAAAGGTACTACAGAATTATATACCTGAAAAAGATGTACAAAAAAGTAAGTGATGGTTTATGTCTATCTCGTAAGGATAACCCACGGTCGCCATTTTTATGTTTAAATAGGTACTTATTCCAATAATAATGGGTTAAACAATACATTCTTTTTCGTTATCTAATTAAATATGTGAGATACGTTGTGTATTTATTGTAAATTAAAATTACTCCTTTCAGCATATCATTAAAATGAATATTTTAGAAGATATTAGGGGTTTAAAACGCAGGGGTCAAAACGGCCGTCACCGCTTCGGGGCGCACGTCCGTGGCCGATCCTATAAATATTGCATATAAAGATGTCCTGTAGTATAGTCCTATCATATTAATAGTATATCTACATTTCATATAAATTCAATTCATAAAAAAAAAGTATATATGTATTTATATCAGTTGTTTGGTACCCATAGTACAAGCTCTGCTTAGTTTAGGACTAGATGGTGTTGTGTGAATCTGGTACAATATTATTATTATTATATTTTTACTTATAAATATTTTTGACAAAGCAGAGATTGTTGCTACTGTGTGTGTTGACTTTAGAGTTTACATAAAAGACGATTTCAAACAATTTTAAACATTTTATGGAATAAGGAGAGTTTGAGTTACTAAATACCCACATACAGTCACATTAAAGATAAATTATCGTACCCTTCACACATTTATTGGTCCTGGGC